CACACACACACACACACACACACACACACACACACACACACACACACTCTCTTGTTTGGCTGCCCTTGACGGCTGAAACGAAAAGTCATTTTCCTTCCATTGTGTTCGAGGAACATTTTGTTTTGGTTCCCGTAAGCCATGAGAGAAAAAGAAAACAGTTCATCAATCATTAACAAAAAATAATCTACTTCCAGATGAACTCGCAGTGTCAGTCAGCCATGATGTCAGGGGGGGAACTTTTGTTATTTCTTCATCAGTCTCACCTCCCTTGTGATGTTATTTCTTTGTCACTAAAGAAGAACTGCATCAGCGCAAGATTTTTTACAAATATGGCAGATGAAATAATTCTACCGAAGATGGATCCTTTGATTAAAAGACTGAATGTAGTGTGTTGATTTTCAAAGGCAGACTGATAAAGGCTGGTTTCAGGTCACATGGTTAAGAGGAGTGTGAAGTGTTTTGTACATGTGACAGCTGATACTAGTGACACTGTTTTCACCACAGTCAGGGAGTAAATGTTGATTATCAGCTACACGTTAAAAATACACATCATCAAGAAATCAGCTGGAATGTGTTATCCTTACTTATTTTTCAGATGACGGAGGAGTGGGTGTGTTTATCTACATCGTCAGCTGGGCAGACACTTTAAAACATTTTAGCACATATTTCATAAATTGGGACTATTGCCTGAGCAATCTGGCTCGCTGTTTTGCAGGTTGAGCCTGTTTTAATATAATTTGTGGAGTATTTCATATCTATGTGTATATATATATATATACTGTATATACACACATATATATATGACTGAAACTGTATTCTTGAGACTACTGTAGTACAAAACTGTACAATATTCTGTAGTTGCTTTCAGTGTGAGTAGCCACGTCGTGGTCGGTCAATGTGAGCATTAAAGTCACAGGTTCTTGTTATTTTTAAGTGGTTTCCAATCGTTTCCTTTTCTGGTTTTGGTCTGTGAAAGTCTTGGAAGCTAAAAACACTGGATCAAGTTTATGGAAAGATCCCCTTCAGTTAATGGTTAAAATAGACCAGTGTTGACGGTTGGTAAGAGACAGACTCGAAACCAAAGTCTTTGTTCTCAAAGTCTCAAGCTTTGTAAGCGCAACCATCCATTCTCACGTCTGACGACATCACGCTACTTCCACCTTTGCTGCTGGAAGGGGACAGTCTCAGTTCACATGACCTGAAGAAGTCACTTGTTGGGAAAACGTAAACAGATATTGTTTTAAGCCAGTGGTTCCCAAACTGAGAAGATTTTCCAGACTTAGAGACATGTGCTGAGTCTCTATATCTATGTAAAATCTTTACAGAAAACTTTGGGACCCACTGTTTTAAGCCAACCAAACTCCCAACGCTGTCATTTTTCAGATAATGATTATTAATGTTTGTTAAGTCTGCAGTGAAATCAGCTTCGTCGAGCTTTAAATCCACTGTGAACCAGGAAGTAAAAACAACCAGTACATGTATTGCATGATTCTTCTCTTTCAGTATGTGTAATTTGATGCCAGCATAGATTCAGGAGCAGATCTTTGTTTACTGTACTTATACCTCAAAAATCAAAGAGGTTGAATTTGTTCAAGGTGAAATGCTACACAAAACACATTCACTTACGATATCGTCAGTGGCATCCTTGGCAGCAGTGACCGTCAGCACGAGGACCAGAGGTACGACTGTGGTGAACCAGGACAGAGAGGAGATCTGAGGAATCACCTGAACACACACACACACACACACACACACACACACACACACACACACACACACACACACACACACACAGAGAAAACTGTCTTTAGTTCCCTTTAGTCTGAGGTTATTTTTGCATACAATAGCTCGTGAAAGGTGAAACAACAAAGCGAACAGGGGATCCAAAGGTAAGGGGACTTCAGTCAAAAGAGGAAATGAGGACAAAAAATTAAAAATAAAGAAAACATTCACATAACATGACATCAATGAAGACAGCAAACAAAAACAGGAAACAACATGACGCACAAATAACAAGTAAGAGATTAAATTCATCTGAAACTGCTCCGACAGGAAAGATTGTGGTGGAGAGGTAAAAAACGAAAGATGTTTGTGGGAGATTGTGCATTATGTCAATTAGGGTCAAACTTGAACTTGAAGAAAGAGATAAATACTCTGAAAAAAGTACTGTTTAAAACTGGTTCTCATGTTTTTAAAAACTGAATACATGCACAATACCAAAATGAGCACAATTTAAACTAGATTTGAGGAAGAAGACAAATCATTGTTGATCAATATGTTGTGTAACCTCTGTGTATATGCATTTCATTCATTCTAGAAGACGAGTTCATACAGCGAAATAACATTGCTTTTCTTGATTTCAAGATAAGGTGAGATAAGATAAAACGTTATTTAGCCCAAAGGAAACTCTTGTGCAGCAGTTGTAAATATATAGATTGCAGATAAACCAAAATATAAGCAATACAAATTGTCAGTAATGTGCAAAAAAGGTGCAAAAAACAAATGTACACATTGCACAGAAATGTAAACAGGTTAACGGTAAGTGTCATAAAAATAACTGGTTAACAGTGACGTGCAATTCAAAATATAAAAGGTGCCAATTTTTATACAGTAGATGTTAATAATCTGTGCTGAGGATTTGTACGGTCGCATTCCTGATTTGTTTTTGATTGTTGCTCAAAAACTTGCTTCTAGATTTCAATGACATTTATGAGAACATGTGACAAGGAGGAGCTGATCAGTGTTCTGTTTTGAATCAAAGAACTGTTTAAAGTTGTTTCCTGTTTTTTTATTAAATGTGCAATAAAGACCCACTAAAGACCAGACAGATTCTGATGCATGAAAAGTAACATGGACGTTAGCTTACACAGAAAACATATGAAACTGTTGCATGTCATTCATTTTAAACTGCTGTCCTCTGTGGTGCAACATGACCGTTCTGCACACGATGAGGCAACTTCCTGTACTGGATATCACACTTCCTTAATCTCATTGCACATAATTCTTGCATATCCTGTTTGGTTAACACACAGCTACACTGCGAGGAACAGCAGTCGGTTGCTGCGTGTTGTGTCCTGTTGGATTGTGTTTGTGTGACAGTGATTGTGTGAATGGCCAGCGACAGTTTTATATTAGAAATAGTGTCAATTCACTGTGAATAAAAAGATGGTCTGTGTGGTTTTAATTGCAGGGAAACGAATGTTTTACATTCCGCATAATGAGTACCTTTACTTTTGGTACTTTAGGTATATTTTGCTGATAATACCTTAGTGCTTTTACTCAAGAGCACTAACATTTACTCAACATATTTTAATGCAATACTTTCCTTGTAACAGAGTATTTTTTTACACTGTAGTATTGTGGGCGTGAAGCTAACATAACAGGACTAATTTGCATTTCATTATTTGAGACACATCAAACATTTTGCATTAAATAAGCCTGACAGTTGGATGGCAGTCCTGTATGTCTCCTGCATGCGTGTGCGTTTGTTTCCCTCACCTGGAGGGCCAGCAGAAACAGGAAGTAGGCGTTAGCGATCCTCTGGAATTGCTCAAAAAGGTTAAGAGGTAGGAAGGTGAAAGGGTTGTACTTGGAGGTCTTGATGGCGTTCGTCTGGAAGAGGTTAAAAGAGTGGGAGTAAAGTTAAGAAAATGTTTTTTGGGGGGAATGAATATACTTATGGACCCTTAACAAGATAATTCAAGTTTTATGTCACAGTGAGAAACTCAAAGGCACTTATTGGATCTCACGTTATGTTGGAGGAATCTTAAATTAGGTTCTGGTTTCTCGAGTGTGTCTGTGGTTAATGTGCTGAAAACATTTTGTCTGTGAGAAACTGCAAATGACCATTAAAACAGGAAATGAAAATACTCCATCACAAAGTTCATAGAACATTTACAACACCTCGCATCCATGCTGTCATTATCATTAAAGTCAAATTCATATAATAAATGTTACGGCTGAATGAAGGCATCAATTAGTTAATAAATGGTGACTGTTGCAGGATTCATTCTTTTCCTTCTCACTGACAAACGAGATCGCTCAGTTTTGTAAAGCACTGTGATCAATACTTGTATTGAGGTATTTGTATTAAAATTATTTTATTTTATTTTATTTCAGCGTTAAGATGACCAAAGCTAACATTGTAAGTGGTCAAAAAGTTGTTTCAGAAGGTTTTCTATCCTGAGAAACAGTTCTAGAGAAAGTCCTTTTAGCTCAGCAATCAGACACATAAATATCTATATCACCCATTAAAGAGCAATATAGATATATCTTACAGAAAACAATGTCTGATAGTAAAACAAGCAAATAAAACACAATAACGGGGTTGCTGCTGGGGGCGTAAACCGGCCACAAACAGACAACCACTGGTGGAAACATACACATACTGGAGCTCTACATGTTAGGTCAGTGTGTGCCGATTGTGTTATTCTGTGGACAGTGTTTATTTGAACCCATAAAAGCTACATTATGGAAATCTGGCCCGATGCATCCGGGATGACAAGACAGATGCATGGTGGGTAATCACATTCATGGCTTAAACAAATATTTGCCTTCGTTTGTGGACCTTTGGACATTTAAAAGGGCAACATTACAAAACGTTTTCTTAAGCTGGAATAGTTCACACTGAAACTGTTACCAACTGAGAACTTTATCTAACAGGATTAGATAACCTTCATATGATCGCTGACGTAATGCTCTTTGATGGTTTCAAATCCACAAAAAAACAAGCTAAATATTGGTTCTAGTGCGTTAGGTGTGAAATAAAAGCTAAATTAAAAGGTGAAAAGGTGTCAATAATGATATAAATGTGTGTTGTGTGTGATTAAACAAACTAGAAACACTTCTCGAGGTAAATTAAAAAGGTATAAAATTCCCTCTAGATGAATCCCTAAAATGTTGAGGTGAAGCAGAGGCTCAAACAGAACTAGACGGCAGATTACGGCGCCTCAGAAAATTCTAAATGTTAGAAATCTTTGTGTTGTTAAGCTTATTTGTGAATGAAAGATGTTTTGACTTTACGAGAGTCTAATCCGGTGGGAGGAATTCTTTCTGTTCCAGGTGGATCTTATCAGGAGGCTGAAAGCTCTTAACCAGCCGGTCTGTGACTCCCATGTCAGCTTATCACTCGGCCTCTTTACGAACAACACCACCGCCCACAGATTTTGATCCGACTATAAATGTTTAAATTCACAAGGGAAAATGTGTCACCCATATTGGTATTTCCCACTGTAGGTGTATCCCATGCAGAATGATTTTAACCCATTGAAAATGAAAATAGAAAAATACAAGGTGAGGAAAAAAGGCACTTATTTAAGCATTCTCCATTTTCCTTTCCAGGTTCTTCAGTTCCATTTTCTGTGTGTCTTTAAACATCTGCCGAGTATTTATTTTGGTGTGTATAAATATCAACATTTTCCTTGTTATATTGTTTTACAATTATAATTTGTTTATCTGTCACCTCTGCTCTGTTTTATTAGGGATGAAGTGCTTCCTCATTTACTTATTTTATTGTCTTGTGAATCTGTTTTGAAATGTGATATATCAATAAAGTTTAGTATCTTTACTGTCAATTCCCAGTTCATAATATCTATTTATCATTTCAATATCCAATTTCCTTTACTTATTTTATTTACATATCATGATGTCCTATTTATCCTGAATAGTACAGCAAAATGATACTTTATTTACAAGATACTTTTTATTTCCATTCACTCTTTCTGAATAAAATCGACGTTGACCTTTCAGAAGTGACACCTCTTACACACCTCATGGCCTAATGTAACCCTTTAAGAACCAATCACAAAACACCAAAACGCATGCAGGTCGTCCATGCATTCGTGTATCTTTAAAACCTAACAGAGTTTTGACCTCAAGTGCAGCAACACAGAGAACAAACCGAGGAGAATGACTTTACCCAGAAGCCACCTCTCCTCTTTGTCTCTGGCTGACGTCCAGTCTCCTGAAAACGTCCAGACACTCAAGCAGCAGGACACAGCCCAAAGGAGAGTTTCTCTTCTAAATATTTGCACTGATAAGTGCTCGCAAACTGTTTTGTCTACAAGTTAAGTCGGCTGCATCCGCTGTTCAAGAGTCAACAACTTACTGCATATCTAAAGGGGAGGTTGTACTCGCGGTCGTTGGCGTGGAGTTTCCTCTCCAGCTCTGCATGATTTGAAGACAGAAAGAAGTTATTGTTATTAATTTACATTAATTTACGAGTGAATGTTCAGATGAATAATAGGAACCTAACCCCCTGTGGTCAACAGTATGCTTGACTTTGTAAAGCGCTCTTAATTTTCTATCTTTTGAAAGAAAAAAAATGTTGTGATTCATTTGGAATATTAAATAATTTGTGACAATCGTTGACAATATGTGACAAGCAGCTAACATGTTAGCATTGTCAATGTGAGCTTGCTAGCATGCTAGATTAGCATTTAGCTCAAAGCACAGCCTCATGCCTGCAGGCACTTGCACTGTGTCCCAAATCCATTACTACATACTAGTGCAGCGCTCCGTGTACTCTTATGTACTAACTACATCAATACTAATGCAGCGCTCCGTGTACTCTTATGTACTAACTACATCAATACTAATGCAGCGCTCCGTGTACTCTTATGTACTAACTACATCATTGTCAGTGTACAGTTAGTATACAAAGATATCAACATACTTTACCATTTCATACAAAAGGGCAATGACACAACTTTACTTGATGTCAGATGTGACTTAAACTTGAAAAGCTGCCAATTAAATCCCAAAAAGGGAGATGAAAATGATTTAACTGTACATATATATGGTTTAGTATAGTATCCATAAACAACCCACTTTAAAATCAACCGTTTGTCGTTTTTATTTGTATACTATTTGTCTAACGATGAGTAAAACCCATGTGGTGAAGTCTTACCTCTCTCTTTCTTCCTCACACAGTCCACGCCAAAGAACGACATCTTCTGTTCCTCTTCCTCCTGCTATCTGTCCATCATAGCCGTCTGTGAAGAAGAGACAGCTGTTACACTGTGGCCGAACAAACTCTGAGTCACCAAATATCTCCATCACCAGAAAATACACACACACACACACACACACACCCCCGACTGCTCACGTCAAACATCGGCTTTCTCCTGCCATTAGGACATTTTCCGTAATGTGCCCTATGAGGTAATCATTCCCCAGTCGTATGGCTTTTTAAACTAAGGTTAAAGCAGGTTTGAGGTTCCTTCTAAAAATACATTTTATATCTGACTGGAAAAGTGTTTGAGAGGAGTAGAGAGAAGGTGTAAACATCCACGTAAATGAGTCATTTATTACAAAAAGGTCCACCGTGCGTTAAGAGAAATAATCACCTGAAAACCAGACATTTAGGACGTTTAGGCTAATCCATTGTGCTCTGCATGCGTAGGTTCAAATCTAATCCTCCAGTCAAGTTTACTTTAGTCTGCCATGTTTACACGTCAACAAGCTGCATTCTTAACATGAGTCTTTCGTTTTGATTAATTCATTTGAATTGAACGCTTTAAAGTTTTTATTATAAAAGAAAAATGTAAAAATGAGATTGCTCTTATGGACCAATGTAGACTGCACTCAGAGAAAAACTACAATAAGAAATATTCTAAATAAATAAAGGATCTCTTCCTCATTGATGTCCTGAAATGAATGAGTTTTTACACATTTCATTCAACCAAACATCTGAACTGGACACTACATTGAACACTCACTGGGGTTTTTGTGTTACCTGCAACACATGAATGAATAAAGTGAAGATGCTGAACAAACAGCAACAAGGAATTAAAAAACATGTTGAGAAGACAAGAGGAGGGAAAGCCTCGTTTTAAGACTTGCGTCCATTTACATTCACTCCACTAAACGGGCTTTTATCTGCCTTCACTTCCTCCTTTTCCATCCAGAAGTCATTACTTCAGGTTTGCATCAGCCCTCGAAGCCTCTTAATGCGTTTCCCGTGTTGGGCAGAGTGACTCAGCGGGAGGCTCCAGACGTCCACTCCTTCAAGCTATCTGCTCCTTCTGAGTTCAGAATCCGGAGCCACCTCTGGTCCCTGCGGTCCAGCTCAGCCGAAAAGAAGCTGTTGGCACGCCGCTGTTATTTTAGCGGCTTCCCTCTTACAGCCCCGACACGCCGACCCAACAATCATCCCTGGTCACCTGTGGTTGCTCTTTACCAGCAGCCCGAAACCCAAATGTTGAATCCAGTTAATGGTTCCAAGCCAGTGGCTCCAAACCCGGTTCCCCTTGAGGAGTTGCAAACTAAACTGCACCCAGTGGTTAAAAGCAACCTAGTATATTTACTCAAGTGCTGTGCTTAAGTGCAATTTTGACACGCTTGAGTATTACCATTTCCTGCTACTTTATACTTTTTGCTTCACTACATTTCAGGGGGAAATATTGTACTTTTTACTGCATGACATTTATCTGCCAGCTGTAGTTACTTGCTGTAGTAACATATCTACCCAGTACACAAAGTAAAACATTTACATTCATGAGCTACAACATTAAAATGCTCTTACATTAGTGAAAAAAAGAATAATATAATATTCCCAGTCTGCATCATGAGTACTTTTACTTTTGATACTTTAAGTACATTTGTACAATTGTGACTACAGGACGTTTACTTGTAATGGAGTATTTTCAGACTATGGTATTTCTAATTTTACTGAAGTAACGTACTTCTTCCACTTATGACTGTAACCAAAATATGTTAATTCTGTGCAAAAAGACACAAAGCGATATGTTGTTCTCACGAGAAAATCTTCTTCTTAAAACCGAATACTTATGTTGTGTCGCAATAATGAGAAAGTGATGTCATTACATGAAAAACATCTCGTTGTATCGGGAAGAGGATCTTGTAAAAGATTCCCCAGAGAAAATAACTTAATGAAGTGCAAATGTTGTCATAAGGGACGGTGTGTGTGTGTGTGTGTGTGTGCGCGCGTGTGTCTGTGTGCGTCTGTCTGTGTGCGTGTGTGTGTGTCTGTGTGCGTCTGTCTGTGTGCGTGTGTGTGTGTCTGTGTGCGTCTGTGTCTGTGTGCGTGTGCGTGTGTCTGTGTGCGTCTGTGTCTGTGTGCGTGTGTGTGTGTCTGTGTGCGTCTGTGTCTGTGTGCGTGTGTGTGTGTCTGTGTGCGTCTGTGTCTGTGTGCGTGTGTGTGTGTGTGCCCTCAGCCCATGTTGAGGACTCCTGGACAGGAAGCGTGACATCAGCGCTGGAGCTATAAATATCAACCACATGTGTTTGTTGAACAATGTGTGTGTTTTAACGGGAATGCCGAGGCTCTGTAAAACACACACAGACAGTCCACCTATTCATTCACTCTAAATTAACCACCCAGTTTAGTCCACAGCCAAACACACAGTCATGTGACCCGACAACGAGAGCCATTTAAACCCACTGCAGTCATCGAGAAGATTTAACGAGGCTTTGAATTTGGACGTTGGACGGCGTGGGGAGTGTTGGGGAGTTGTTTTGGGAGTTTCACGCTCTTGGCTTTGGCAGATACTCAGGCTTTCCAGGCTTTACAGTGCAGACAAACCGCAGATACAAAACTGTGACTTAGTTATGGAGATACTGGGAACACAACACAGCTGTGGAGAAAAGTAAAGTTACTCTAGAAGTTCTTGTTACCTGCATGTAATATCTATATAACAACAAATGATCACAAACAACAATTTACTCTTGTGCAAAGTAGTTCCACCACCTGTAAGTTCACTGAGATGTGGACTCGACTCGAGTCACTGTTTTTGCAACTTGGAATAAATGACTTGAGACTCGACTTGGAAGTTAAAGTCTTGTGACTTGACTTGGATCAGATCGTCATCATGAAGCCTGTGCCAGGCAGGAGCCCTCTCTTTCGGATTTACACATATGAAGGAAAAAGGCGGACCGCTGAATGCAAGACCTGCTCATCAAAGATTTCTACGGCGAAGAGGTTTGCCTCTGCCTCAAGAACAAAGAATGACATAACCACATTTGGAGAGGATTATTCTGCTTGTGTGACTTCTAAATAATAATAAAAGACAGTTGTCTATTTATAAATGGAGTGAACCTGATTTTAATGCTCCGCCAAGGATGAGAAGCTGTAACCAGAAACAGATCTCCAGCTTTAAATAATAACTCAGCATGAAGATGAGGATGCTACAAGCAAATAATACATTACGCTCATGGTGCTAGTGGTGCCGTTTGTACCACATGTCCAGTCAGCTGTTCTGGCCGCTCTTCCCTTTATGACTATATCATAATTAAGGATTCACGTGTTCAGTTATAACTGCCGATTTATACTAAAGGACTTTGGATTACCTCACAATGACGATGTAACTCTGAGAACGATTAATGCAAACTTGTTCACTGCAAACAGATTATAGACACAAGCACGTTTCAAGGATCTGCAGATTTATATTGTACACAGTGCAAAAACTCGATGGAAGCCAATGACGGAAAGTACGATAACACCTCTAAACATGACGCTCCAGTTCCACTTCCATCCAGATGTTCTACTTGTGGTGTTTAAATAGGTCGGATGGTTAAAAACGGTTTCACATGTACCTTTAAAGCCACAGTGGGAAAACATAAAGTGGGTCTTTAATCACAACACTTCGCGGTTTACCAATTAAAAACGGTGATACTTCAGCCACACGTCCTACTGATCCATCTCAGCTTTTATTTTCTCACGCACGCACAAACAACAAACACACATGCACAACTGTTTACTTTCTAAATGCAACAAACACTGGAATTAATGCTATTCCAGGCGGACAAAGGTGCAGTAACAGTATCCCAGTGTCACAGCCACCTGTGACTGGCTCAACAGGTCGGAGGTCACACAGATGAATGGCTGTCTTGTCCGATTAGTGATCTCTGGTTTCTCAAACTCAACAGTGCTCTATTATCAAGACTGACCGCTTGTTTGCAGCTGAAAGAAACTACCTTTTCCTCTGAGTGAGTGTGAGTGTGTGTGTGCAGACAGATGCCTTTGTATCGAACTGACTGAAGAGCCCTTGTTATCCTTCTATTTACTCCAACAACAGCTGACATTATACATCCTCAGAACATAATATAAATTACTGGGTGCAAACTTTTAATTTAATGTCGCAAACTTTTGCTCTGTATTGAAGACGCAGTGACACTCAAACAAGCACCACTTTCCATTTTTCAGTCTCTTATTTGAAAGATATCTTTACCTCGTTAACAATCAGAACAAAAATGAATTAATCTGTAATTGACCAGCAAAAATGTGAAACATTGTCTGGTTCCAGTGTCTCAAATGTGAGGATTTTATGCTTTTCTTTGTCATATAAACTATGACAGTAAACTATGTCTTTGGATTTTTCACTGTTGGTCAGACAAAACAAGAAACGATGGGCTTTGGAAACCTTTGATGGATATTTTTATAATTCTCTGACATTTTACAGACAAAACAATTAATCAGTAAATTAAGAAAGGAATCTGCTGATTACTCCAAATGTAAATGATTGTGAATAATACATTTTAAAAGCTACTTTAGCGGAGGACTGCATGTTAATGGCCTAACATATTTGGTCATTAAGCATGAAATAGCAGCCATCATGAATAGCTTTGCTCTCTCTCTCTCTTGAAACATGCTGCAGTCCAGCACGTCCAAACCACTGCTGTTATCAAAACTTACACCAGTACAATGACCTGAAACACACCAAGCAAAACAGTTCTAACAGCGATGCACTGTTCGACTATAACGCCACAAACACTTGAAACAACTGGGGAAAGATTGCAGATGTTGCGTAATTGTTTCCATAGATCAGCATATCACACGATCACCCACAGTAACAGATAAGCCAATGAGCACAGCTGCTGCGTTTTCAGCATGTTTCCCCTCTGCGTGTGTTGTCTGATAGCAAACAGAGCTCCGGATAAATGAGGTCCCCTCTCAAGGAGGACGAGGAGAGAAAGGTGTGCAGAGGAGTACTTTTCCCTATTTCTGTGGTCATTCTGATTCCTCTTTGTTTGTTTTGAGTCTCTATGCAGTCATTTTTTTATCCCTTTGTGATCATTATGCGTCTTTGTCATTTAGTATCTCTTTATAGCCATTTTGCATTCCTTTGTAATGTCTTTGTTTTATTGAATCTTTGTGGTCATTCTGCATCTTTGTTGTTGTTTTGAGTCTGTTTGTGTTCATTTTGAGTCTGTTTATGACTATTATGCATCTAATTGTGGTCATTTTGTGTCTCTTTCTGTTTCCTATAGTAATTGTGTCTCTTTTTGTGGTAGTTTTGCATCTTTACGTAGTTGTTTTCCATCTTTTTCTTGTCGTTTTGAGTCTCTTTGTAGCTGCTTTGAGTCTCTTTGCGCCTCTTTCTGGTCGTTTTGCATCTTTGTAGTCGTTTTGAGTCCATGTGATTTCATTTTGTGTCTCTTTGCCTGACAGGCTCCTTTCATAATCCGTTCATAATTAAACGAACCACAGGAAGGTGTCTGAAAGATCTCCTTCATAAAGCATCAACAAACTCTGTAACAGAGTATGAAACTCTCAGAAACCTCACTGATGTATTCTGTTTAAAGTGTTTATTTAAATCTCAGAAGAGAGCCTGGTTTGGTTTTTAGAGAGCATATGTTTTCTGTCTCATCTCTTTCAACAGGTACTTGTCTTATCAGGCTGCTGGCTAATAATAGCTGAAGCCCCACACTAGCAACTATAAGCATAAAGCCATAGAGCGAAGCACAGCTGTAATGAGTCAATTAATCCATTAGTTGGTCGACAGAACATTAATCTGCAGCTATTTTGATAATAAATTGATAATTTAAGTCATTTTAAGCAAAAACGTGATGGTTCTCAAAACGGAGAACTGGCTTCTTTTGCTAAACTAAATATCTTTGGATTTCAAAACAAGACGTTTGATGATGATCACTGTTGGACCAAACAACAGGTCAATTAAATAAAAATAATCAGCTAATAAATCAGTTCATCTTCATCATTGCCGTGTCAGTCAGCTTCTCTCTGTGGATTACACGGTACATCCTGTGTAGTTCAGATCGTTGGCCAATGCAACGGATACAACAAAGGAAGGCAGGGAGGGAACAGTAGCACAGAACCAAAGCTTTCACCTTCTAAAGTTGATTATTAAGAATTTCTATGAAGCTAAAAGTCTTCAAAGCAAACCATCTTCCTGTATGAAAACTGCAACTGTTGATTTTGCAAAACACTTAAAATTGGGCGTCTGTGTTTTTCCACCCTATCTGCCCTCAGATTTCAGTCTGTTACATTGACTCAACAATTGCAGGAAGTAGCACTGATAGAGAGTTCTTACATTGTCCCCAACAGCAACTTCTGTGGAAATCAGGGCACGTACGGTATGCCATGAATAACGGGGCTGTGAGCCACTTCAGGGGGATTCAGGGGAGACAGCTTTTAGACCAGCATGCAACTCTAATGCAGCTACTCAAACATGCACTGCTAAGTAAGTCGACAGTCTCCAAATCGCGCATCTGATGTCATTACAAGTACATTTCTACGTGTATCTTCCCTCCAGAATACTTTAGATTTACCCTTTTGGACAATAAACTCTGACGTCATATGCAATCACTTCTTTACATAAAAGGGAAAGAAAGATAAAAAGAACTAAAGAGAGAAATCCAAACTGTGCCCTAAACAGCAGAAAGTGAGTTACAGTTTATCAATACAAAGCAGCTTATATTGAACATGTAGAGGTGTGTTCAGAAGGAAGGTTTAATATATTTTAGAGGTGGTGAGATTCCACACAAAGTCGTAGGAAAGGTGGCACAGACTTCAGTAAAGAAGTGTCCGTCTAAAGTTTAAAGTCTTGGGTAAAAAGTTTTAAATAGACCAGCATGGCTGGAAGTTATCCAACCGTAATGTGTCCCACACCGACTACCAAAACCTGTCAAGTTGTATTAACATCAGATTATATTACTCCTGCTTTATTAGCTACATCAGGGCTGCAACTAACTTTTTTTGGACTGTTGAAGTAAAAGCCTACATGTATTGTTGCTTTAAAAAAAGGTTTATCTAGGTCATACAGAAATGACAAATGAATGAATTATACAGAAATGAGTAAAACTTTCACTCTGCAGAGGGCTCTGGATTTCACCTGCCCACAGTTCAACCACATCTCAACAGAAACTCACCCCCTCTTACCCTGAGCTCTGTGGTGGAGGTCTTTACAGTTGGAGCTGTTGTGGGAAACACTTCTTGCAGAGTGTATGCTAACTGCTGCCGAGTTTATGACAAATCCAAAGAAGCCCGATGGCCGACACCGTGTTTTACACAGCAGACGCAGCCCCAGCAGCATTGACACAGAGCAGCAGCTTCAGTACTCGACCCTGGATGCAACTCTCTGGATGCGTTCAGGAACAGTATTGAGTGTAGGTCACCTGTGTTTTGGCTGCGCTCCGAGCCCAACACACAATCACTGTAGTTGCACACGTAAAACAGAAGGTCAACTCAAAACTACATTTTGAAGATAGTATGAGGAAAAGAATCTACAAAATAAATACAGATTTGTGTTTTATTTATCTTCTGCCCAGTGATTGAATTGCCTCACCTTATTCACACGTTGGCGTGCGTACAGGTCGGTATCAGCAATCAATATTACAATCTTCTACAGTGAATTAAAGACACTAAGAGATATTGGGTTTGTGACTCTGATACAGGAATAGAGCTGTCGCCCATTAAGAGCTCTTTCTCCGCTGATGATGATGTTGAGCATTAACAAAGCAGGAATGGGAAAAGTGAGATGCAGTTATGACACATGGGCACAATACAGCGCCGAGCCCCGAGCGCCGCACCAAAAGACCCGAACAATCGACCTCTGAATAATTCACCTGACCTCTCGGGCCACGGAGCCACTCCTCCTCTCACCTTACCTGATAAAACCCCAACATTTTGATTGACCTTTTACGCTCAATAACCTCCTCCATGCACCACAAAGACTCATCAATGTAACAACGGTACAACCTTCAAGCTGCGACACAAACCCAGATTCATTAGTGCAGCTGGCTGACAGTTAACGAGATCAGATTCAAGGATGACCTCCTGTCAGTGTTCAGTTTCGACGAAGCTGCTGAGGTTCAGTCACATACACAAGTTTTTCTCTCTTATTAACTGCCTGTAACACACACACACACACACACACACACACACACACACACAC